TGAAGAGATCTAAATTCTCGGAATCAGTATTAATAATGCATGCAACCAAAGTGTATTACATTATTAAAATAAAAATGTTATGAGACAACATTTCCATATTTCTATTTTTAGAGTTATGTCTAGTAAATTCCAGTATGTTCTAGAATGTTCTAGTAAGCTAGTCATCTGGTTATCGTTTATTTCTATCTGTGCCTTTGCATTAGTCAAACAAACACTTCCTTTTGACATAATCATGATTAGACTAAGATAAAATATCTATTTCATATAAATACGTCTTTGTTAGCTGTTTCAAAGTTCGCATAAGATTCTAAGACATCTTCTTTCAAATAACTTAGGCTAGTATCTTATAGGTTTTCCACATTAGTTTGTTTGGATTATATATGAACTTAGCTATATTCTAACACTAGTTGCGACTTGCGACTATCTTAGGTTTGACTTGCTAGATATTTCAATAATGTCCGACTTTCATTAAGCTTTCTGATAAGAACATAAATTGACAACATAATGAGATTACAAGGTACTTGTTTATTTCTATAGTAAATATAGTATGGATTTTCCATCTAATCTTGTAGGATGCTTTCACGCAAACTTGCATCGTTGTAATGTTACCGCAAAATTCAGCTAAACCCCTCCTACGAAAGTGTACACCTCGAGCGACGCCCTGTCGCCCATCGCTCGTTCAAAACCTTGTAACTTCATTATATTGAATATTCATTCAATATAACTTTGTATAAAGTTAGTCCTTTATAAGAGCTACCTTCAGTCTTAATTTTATATCTGAATTCAACCTAAAAACTACCTTGGGGCATAGCATTTTCACATTCTACCCAAGTTAAACATATTATTAGTTATCCATCAAAAGTACGTCTTAACCAATCATATTTCAATATAGATTGCCAATAACTGTCAGTATGCACTTGTAAAAATATGCACTATAAAAGGTAGATTGTAATTGTATAGCTCAGAATTGAAGGTACAAGCTAGAGTGTAAGGAAACTGTGTTGGTGCCTCTCAATAAAACCTTTTTGATCCAAGTACCTGCTCTATTGAGTACATCCCACAGCTTACAAGCCTACAAGAAAAACCTTGTAACAAAAACACGAAAAATAGCACAATAAAGATTCATAAAGTATGACAAAGGTTGTATAGAGCAGTAATAAAGTTGTATGAGGTGACGATTGATAGGTGGCTTTTTAGGTCAAAATTGGTAAAAGTATTCGCTTTTCATTGTCTGAGGCTGATTTGGAGTATATTTCTTCGTTTTCCAAAACCCTAGCAAAATTGTCATGTATTTTCATGATGTATTTTTTTT